CTGTGCAGAGCTACAGTACTTAACAGCGACTAAAAACGCACATTGTCGAGAGGTTGTCTGTTTGTGTGTGTGTTCGGAAGCGAGTGGACTTTGTTACCGGCTTTCGTTTCAGCAACGAGGAAAGTTGGCAGGCTGAAATTTTGGAAGCATATTCCCACCTCGTGTGTCATCTTATTTAAAATCTTCGTTTATACGCGCCTTACGGCACCCCCAGAAAAAGTATGCATATTTGTTTGGCGGAAGACGATTTCGCGAACCAGGCAAGATACAAAGCTGAAACTTTGCAAGGATATTCTTCGTACGTGTGTGAGTTAAAGACTTCAAATTCAGCTGTCGCGCACGCTTGTGCAGCGCGTGTGTTTACGTCAAATTTTGCAACTTGGTACTGTGCTAATTCGAAAACTATCCGGAAAACAGTGGTGGAATTTTGTCTGCAGGTTGTTGTCCATATGGGAAATCGCAAACCTAAATCGAATTTCGACTTGCACTTGCACCGCGAGTTAGAGCACTCCAAAGATATTTTTAGTGCAGTGGCCATTTCGCTTACCGGATAAGGTGCGAGGCTAATACTTCGCTGCGATATCCTATTTTCTACTGCGGTATTTATTCTGCCTGGAAGTGAAATTCCCTGCATGTCGGCATGAGAAATACTCAGCTTTACCGAAAAATAAAAAAATCGCTTCAGCAACATTTCCACTTTTCAGTGAACTAAAAATACGCATTTTTTCGAAAAGTGAGTATTTACTAGGAAGACGACCGGGCTTCATGCAGAAAACTGATAATTATGAACATGGTGGTCCACGAGTCCGTATAATGCAACACATTCTTTCCAACCCACGCCCTTTCTCCTGCATGCCGTGAAAGGCCAAAGCACGGCCAATATGAGCCTAAGTGATAGGCTACAGCGCCCGGACCATTCCTGCTGTTAGCAATCTTCGAATTTAGTGCAAAAATGCGTGATCGCACCGACAAGTCTAGTGCGTTCCAGCCTGGGTTTTGTTTTTCGCCATATTGTTTTACACTAAACAGGAAAGTTTCGTTTTTTATCAGGAAGTAAATTTGTGTGGCAATGGAATAGATCCAGCAACAGTTGAAAGTATCGCAGTCCGAATGAAATATTTTCCGATAAAACAGATTGCGTTGTGCGCTAATAAACTAGGAAGCGCTTTTAGTGCGATCAAGTCAAGATGGTCACAGTACGACTATATTAATTTGGGCAATGAAAGGTGAGTACCGAGGACTCGTATGACACTTCGTTTGCGTTTTCTAGTGCTCCTTGTGTTTCACTTTTTTTTAGTTTCGCAATTATTTTGATCATTGTACATTGCCTGATGGTCAGTCTTATGGCGATCATGATAAATGAATGTGCTAGTGCTAAATCTGTATTAAAGTAGTAGATCCTATTTCAGTAGCGACGAGGGATCACTCAAAGATGATGAAGCGGGAGATGAATTGGCGGGAAATTCTTCCGCTAGCACGAGTTGCGAGAGCGATGATGAAAACAGTGGAAATTATGGCGACACCGACCCTAGTGGTGGTTTTTAGAAAATTAATTGAATGCTAGTCATGGAGCCACTCCTTTACGACTCCCACCCCCCTTTTCATAGCTTATTAGTAATGTTCCTGTAGGAAATTGAGAACACTTTTTAGTTTTTTTTTTGTTTCAAAGTTTAGAAGAAAGAGCGGGTATCATCCTTGCCAGCTAGTTGTTGCTCCTTACATGTAGGACTGCAAACAGTCATAGAAAGAATTCATTGTTGTTTTGGCTTCTGTTTTTGAACTGCTGGAATTCACGTTTTTTTACCACTGAATGTATGTAAAGCTTGAATTTTTGCCACTGCGATTTTACTTTTTTGTTAAAAAATTCTTTTTGGTATGCTTGTTTAGATAGGGCACTCCTGGTTCATGAATAAAACCTTACTAACTGGCTCATGATCCTTTACTTAATTCAGGTACCGGAATTAATGTTAAACGTGTTTCAGGTGAAAGCTTTGACCGTGATACAGATTTTGCCGTCAAATATAAATTCTGGGACAATGCTGATGACGGTAAATGTGGTTTGCTGACACATTCTTCATTCTACATGCTCCATGAAATGCGGCCCAAATGCATGAAAAATGCAAGGGAATGCGGTGCTAGGACCAATAAATGTTTTATTGCCTGTCCTGCAGCCTTTAAGATCCAGTGGAGTGGCTTCATTCACAAAATTTAGAAATACTGCTTTGCTCAATGCCACGCTTTTTTTAAACATATTCTCAGTGAACCCCTGGTCGGTGTGGTATTTCATCGTAATTTAGTTGTTGCATCGTTCCAGATGTGATCGTGATATTTAACACACACACACACACACTTACATGCACATCAATGACATTTCGAAATGGCTAAATCTTTTGTCAAATGCTTCGAGTGGTAAACTGATAAATAGGTAATGGCTCAGAGACGAATTTTAGCATTGTCTGCGGGCTGACCACTAATTGATGTAGTACCAGTGAAAGCCATTGTAAAAGTTGTCAACGGCATTGCTGAAGAACTAGGTTATCAAATGCTGCTACATTAATTGTCCCCAGATGGAAAACGATAAGAAAAATCGAAAGAATTAGTGGTCTGTTTGTTTCCTTACAATTACAGATTGTTAACGTAAATTACCG